GTGCGGACTCCCCCGGAGATCACGGGTGCTCTTCCCAGCCTTGTGCTTCTCGGTGCCCTCGAAGGGCAGGATGAAAGCCCAGGATGAACAGAGAACCCCACCATGGGCAAATCGGAGGCTAATGTGGTCAAAATAGAAAGCTTTAGCAAAGGAGTCAGATTTTTGTCTATTAAAATGCAAATGAGCTGTTAAAACGTTGCCGTCTGCGCTTTGTGATTTAGGTCTTGACAAAAGTGTTCGGATTTAGTTTTCTTCAGCCGCAGCTTTGAACGTAACCACTGGTTTTCATTAGTTTCAGTGTCCTCAGCGGAGCCTGAGAGGAAAAATAAAGAGAGCGCGTAGCCTGCAGTCGCCTCACCTTTTATCTGGAGAGATTCGTCAGCTGTTGGGTTGTTATTTCTGGCCATCTTAAACCGTGGAGCACTGACCTGAAACCGAGCAGATGTGAAGGATGTGGCAAAGGGGCTGCCGAGGTGCCGGTTCCTGCGGCCTCGCCGCCTCCGCACCAGCTCTCCTGCGCCCCCGGGCCACATCCGAACTGCGCCATGTCTCACCCTGCCTGTTTGCATAACATGTTGTTTAAAACTGTTTGGATAAACTGTATGTTTATGGCAGATGCTTCCAATATTTTTTCATATACTGCCTGGGAAAAAAAACCAAACCCACCTATGGCTTTGGATACTACAGAGTCTTCGGCCAGCTCAAGCCTGCCCTAGGACCCCATCTATAACTGACCTGCATCCCCTCCTAGCCCCTAATTAACAAAAATAAAGGTTGTTGAAAAAAAGATATGAAAGAAAATTGCAAAAAAAAGGAGCCACAGGAAGTATTGCAGGCTTGAGAAAATGCCTTGCCTTGAGAGAATGAAAGAATAAAAAACAGGTAACCAGAAAGAAGGAGATGCAGTTACTGAATGGAAATAATTTTACAGAGAGAAAAAAAAAAAAAACAGTAATTTTGGCTACCAGATAAAAAAGCATCATGTGTGTCAGTGGTTGGATGCCAGATCCAATCAGCTTCAACTCTAAAGTTATGTTTCATACTGAGTTGACCTATTGCTGAGCAAGCTTGGGAATTAGGAAAAACTTCCCAAAAGAGCAGGGGAGCTTTCCGGCTCTTACTGCCTTTGTGTCAAGATGCGGTAGCTTCCGGGGGGGATTTCAGCTGAGCAAAGCTCTTTGTGCTCAAGGTGATGGGGGATTTTTAATTGCACTAGCACTAGATGTTGTGAAGATGTGATGAAAATAACAGTGTGAGCCTTGTCTATCTGGTGGAAGAGAGCACGTTTCAGATCAGGGGATGCTGGAAAGGGCAATTAATAATCCAGTGGTTAGCATCTATTTGTGGCCCATCAATATTTTTGACAGGATATTTTAAGGAAATTGGACTGTATGTAAAAATAAGATTGGAGCCCAGTGCACCACACTGAATACAAATAAACACTGAATAGCTGCTCACGTTGAGCTGGCTGCCCAGCAGGGCGGTAGGGTTGGACTGGGCGTCCCGGGCGTCCTTCGTGCTCCTGCAGGAGGTGCCTTCTGGGCGCTGCACTTAAATAGATGTGGGTTGAAAGCAGGAAATAATACACTAGTTTGAAAATATATATTACTAACCAGTGCCTCATTACCCTTGCCTGGCTCAGCTGGACTTGCCTATAGAGAGAAGTGGGAGCCTGACATGCCGCCCCGCCTGGTCGCCGTCCCGCCGCGCTCTGCGAGCCCGCTGAGCCGAATCCTCGCAGAGACGCAGAACCTTTTCTACCCTTTCTGGAAGGAAGTTCGCATCCATTTTACCATGTCCTTGAATAAACTTTAAAAACACTGCCTCTGCAATATTCCTTTGCACTAATGCCCAACGACATGGCATTCGTTTGTCTGAGCGGCGGGCTTGCACCGCTACGTTGCATTGCACCCTCTCACTTTAGGTTAAGGAGTACCTGGAAAGCAGGGGACTGTTGCACTGAGCTGCGTGTCCATCGGGTCGCACGGACAGTGCGGTGGGCATCCAGCCGTGCACAGGCATCCCACGCACACCGCTGCGAGACGAAACCTTTGCGAAGCTGGGGATTTGATTTTTACTTCTGGAAATGCCAGTGCGCTGACCTTTGCAAAGCGGGATGGGCTTCCAGTTCGATTTGGTGCTCGTCTTGTTTACGAGACGCAGCTGGCTCTTGGCTCGCCTCTGCGCTCGCTGCCTTCATCTGATGGCTCTGGACAAGTGTCAAAGACACCAAAGGCTGCCAGGGGTTCGATGCCAAAGTGCTTAATTAAACCAGCCTCCAGGCAGTGGCAATTTGCATGGGAGAAGCACTGCAGCAGGGAATTTGGGTTTTTTTTTTCAAATTACTGTTGGGTTAGTAATGTTTTTTTTGTCTTGCTGAACTGCAGCCATTTGGAAAACACAAACTTCCCCCCCACCGCCCCAGACCCTGAGATTTACAGCCAGACAGCGCTGGCCGTCGACCCCACCGAGCGGCCGCAGGGTCAGAGCAGCTCCGGCGTCTCCGGGACGCCGGCAGGGATGCCGGGGCCCGCTGCCCCCCCGGCGAGGACATTTTGGGAGCAGCTGGGTTCTCCCCTGGTGCGAGCAAGCTGACGTGCACGCTCATCTCGCCTTCCTCTTGTTTTAGAGCCATTAAAAAAAAAAGAAAACCTTGAACAGCCTCACTATTTCTTGATTTTGGAGATGAGTGTGAAAAAAAATCCTGCCCTCTTGGTGGCAGCAGGTTGGAAAAGGGTGATGTTTCAGGTGCCTCTTTCCAACCCCAGCACAGCCAGCCAGGTGGCAGTGCCGGTCTGGGCCAGCGCGCTCTGCCCCGGCTCCCTGCGCTCGGCCCCTGCGATGCACCACATACTTTAAAAGTAATAGGCAGTTTTCCCAGTCTCTGTATTTTATTCTGGTGTGCCCAGCAGATCCACAGCTGCTGGTTCTGGAGTGCCAAGAAAAGGCAGGTGGTGGATGAGGAGCGGCGCGGAGCTGCGGGTGGACGTGGACCCACGTGGCACCCACGGGAGCAGTGGTCCGAACACCAAGGGGCAAGTCCTGCATGCGCAGCCCCTCTCCGAGCGCGTCTCCGTGCTCGCTCCTCTAGCAAAAAGCCAGATGGAAATCCACGGAGTGGCATGGCCAGGCCCAGGCCGAGGGGATAGACCAAGAGAAAGCACCGGTAGGCACGTAAAAAGAAGAGTTACGCGTATCATCTTGTGGGTGCTTGCTTAAAATAAAGCCCTGAACGGGAAGGGCCAGAGGGTTGCATAAGAAAAAAAAAAACCCATAGGCATCGTGCCATGCGCACACCTTTGATGAATAACCAGGTTATTACGCGCACCCCAGCTGCCAGGCCTTCCCTAACCGCTTTCCCTCTCTCCTGTTTGCTCCGTTGACCTGCAGTGAGGTTATATTGGGAATTAGCTGCCATCTCCTTTGAGAGCAGAGACCCTGTCCTTTCCCATGTGCTACGCGGTGCCTAGCACGCTGCTGGGCACGCCAGTAATTAGGACATAATCACAATATACATCAAATAAATAAGCACTTGTAGACAGGTTATCAGGACTCTCGTGCGTCTCAGGCAACAAGGTATCCATGGAGGCCAAGCACAGCCAAAGGACCAAATCCCTGCAATTCAGGTGATTTTTTTCAATAGCCCTAATAGCTGAGCCTCTTTTGGCAGGCCTGGAAGTTTCCTGTCTCTCACCGATCCTGCAGGCATGCCCACCTCAGCCCAGAGAAATCTGCCGGGCATTTCATTGATTTTTTGCAGCGGTAAAAAAACGCAGGATATAAAATGAGAAGACCAGGTTAATTACTGTCACAGATTCCAAATCAAGGCTTTCCCGATTTTTCTCTCCCATTTAAAAAAGTGTGGACGGTTTAAAAATTGTCTTTGGACTGCATAGCTAGAGATGCTAAGAAAAAACTCTCATTCATTCAGAAAATGGAACAAACCCAGATCAATACTTAGGGGAAACATTATTTCCATTTTACTGCTATTTAACCTCAACAATGAATGGAAAATGAATCTGATCTTGGGACTAGAATCATATGGTCAACCAGGGATGATTTTGACTGTGATCCTAGTGTCAGAATACCCAACTGATACACGAGCATTCTAGGATAACTAAAATGCTCATTAATTTCAATTAATCACTGTGATCAGTTATTTATTAGGAAGGAATTAATTGTGAATCGGTGGAACGCATCAGGAGAGTGGGAAAGAACTGCAAATATGGACATGTAGTGTTCTTGCAATGGGAATTGAAAGATAAAAATGAGTTAAACATTTTTTGAGTACAGATAAAATTTGTGTCATAAAAAAAAAATCAGAGTAACAAATGTGCAGCACTTTAATGTCAGATTTGACCATCATTGGAACTGTTCACAAGGAGTGTGGACAATCTAAACTGTACTTCATTTTCTAAGTATGAGATATAACCATTAGGATAATTTAGAAAACACATCACCAGAAGTTGGGCTGAAGAAGGGAGAAAGAGGGAACATCTTTGGAAGGTCAAAGTGGGAGTTCTCAAGTGAACGCTATTCCAGTATTTTGCGACAAACAGGAAGTGAGGTCTGTTACACATCTTTCACAGCCTATATATAAACCAGCCTCAAGAATGTTTACCTGAACAGATATTTACAATTTTTTTAAATAGTCTTAAAAAAGTAATATTTGCTTGATCCATGACACAATGAACATCTCTACAGGGAAAATTACCATAGGCATAATAAAATATTCAGTAAGTCATAAAAGATAACACGAAAGCAGTGTTTGGCCTCAGTAAAACACATTTAGGATGACTGCAATGTATGGATACAGCTTTGTTCAAGAAAGGAGTTGTGCATATTTAAAGGTACTTACAAAGCTGGTCTCCTCCTTTCCTTGACACGTGGATGTTTCCTAACAGGATGAGCGGAAAATCATGGACACCATGCATTGCTAAAGGAAGGCTGTGCCAAGCTGTTTTATGTATCTGTGTTTCAGTGATGGGATAGTCTCTTCTAACCCCTATGGCTCATAAGAGAAAATACACGTAGGTCTCAGCCTGTGAGTGTGCAAGGGCCAGTTAAAGGATTCCGTGTTCAATGAATTCATAGGATTCATCTCCTCTTCTTCGTCTGTCTGAACAGATTTTAATATATTCTTTATAGAACTGAAATGGTTTAACCTACTTCAGGTCTACAGCTGTCCTAAAATGCTACCCTTTTGGTAGAAGTTCACCGCTTAAAGACAGATTACCAGTGTTAGTCTGCATCCTCCTCATTTAAAAGCCTTTTGTGTGTATTGTGAAAAGGGTGACTTCCAAGCATCTGCGTTAGAAAATAAAAACGGCACCATGAAGGCATCACTGGGTAGGCTCAGCAGCTGCTTTCGTACAAACTCTGGGCAACAAGGTCATTCTCCAAACCAGTTGGGGCTTTCCAAAGGCCAACACACAGCTCTGACACAGGAGCTGTTCACCTCCAGCGAGAGTTTTCACCACCCTGAAGATTACACCTTCAAAGAGGTGCATGGGCTAGGAGCGCTCAGAAACGCCCGTCCGTAGGGCTACTCAGCCAGGCTGCCCCGCTTTGAAAATCTACCCGTCAGCCTCTTGCCCCTATTACTCCACAGTGATGACTATATTATATAAAGTCATAAAACAGAACTAGAAAAGTTTTTACATCTTTTCAAATGTGCAAAATGTATTTTTATGGGAAATGAACTTAAATTTCTATGCCAGCTGTTGCATTCTTGGGTAATTTAGCTGGTTTTACATGAATCTCTTTGCTCGTAACTAAAAGATAATTGACTATAAACAAGTGTGCTACAAATGAGAAGAAAAAAATACAAAGAAAAATGTTTTCCCAGAATGTCTGAAAAGAAATAGGCAAATTAAGGCTGTGACTAGATAATGTGTGAAAGTTTTCTATTAAAAACATGCTACTGTAGTTGCAGTCATTATTTCATGAAGGACCAAGTGACTTCACTGCTAGTAAATATTTAATGAGAAAAACTAACAATTTCTAGAAGTGTTGCTGCCTCCAGTGGGAACGACCATAACTAACTCCCTGCCCGCTGAAGGGCAGATGCTGCCTACTGTGTCCAAGCTGACCGCGCTCACACGCTGCTCAAAGACTGGTGCCCCACTCACTTCCCAAGAAAACTTTTTAAAAACTCTGAGCCTGGCTTTAATCCACCCTAACACCCATACTTCATGCCAAATTTCTCAACTACAGTCATTGAAATACGTACAAGAAGAGGTGGGGCTCTCAAAACATTGCTTTGAGTAGTACCAAGAGCAGTATAAAGACCAGAAGAAAGCAAGCTGGCAGTTACTGTATCTGTTAGGCTTGCTTCCGAAATCACGTCTGGGGATCCTTCCAAAGCTGTCCTGCAGAGAAAACCTTTTTCACTAAACCTCCCTCCTAGATTTCTGTGTTTTGAAAACTGCTCTCTGTGATGCTTAGTTTTCCCCCGTTATCCGAAGGTGAATTTTAACTGCAGTCATTGCTTCTATAGGCCCTCTGTGTCAGGGTCGGGTAGCCGGCCCGGCTAACGGGCAAGGCGTACAGGACCTGGCGAAAAGAAAGAAAACCGATGGCTTGAATGTAACATGAGAACGCATCAATAAGGAAACTCAAAATCTGTTTTGTTCTAAGGAATCGCTAGTTTTCGTGGCTTACACAATATCTCAGTGGAGATATTATTCGCTTCCCCGCATTTTTCTCATAACCACAAATCAGAACCCCAAATAAGAAATATCCCTTCAAAACTGCTTCCTATTAGCACAGTGTACCTTATATTATAAAACTTGCAAGTAGACCAGTGTTGTACCATGAAGCCTATACAGGATTTTTTTGTTTTTTCTGTTTTTTTTTTCCCCCAGTGTAAAAATATACAATGCTACTGCTCATTTGTTGCAGCGTAAAGGTCCAACCGGTACTTGCCTGCTGCAGGCGCTACTGTTGCTGCCCTTTCATACTTCTCCAACCCAGACCACTGTGTTACCCCTCCTTATACCTGAAACCTCACAGCGTAATGTGTTTTGTCTCCCATTAATAACAAACAGTGAATCTTTAGCTGGTGTAATGAGATACTGTCCAAATAATCCACTGTCTTTCATAATTCTGTTGTAGTTGCTCCAGGGCCAGTCTTTGGATGTGATAGGGTCCTTTAAATTCTTCAGTACATTCATTTTGCCTGTTGACAGCTCTACAAAAAGCACATCTGTTTGCAAATGTGAAGTAGCATATATATAGTACTGATTGCCTTCAGTGAAGGAGGGTTGAAATGTCAGATCAGATACGTGTACATTTGTTTGTAAGTCATAAATCAACTTGATTTCCCCTTGGACAGTTATAGCTTGGACTTTGATCCTGCCGCTGTCTTCATCTGCACTGACCAAATAGCGTCCGTCAGGTGAAATATAAGGTGTGCCCGATACATCACTGTTGGGGCCGATGACAGAGTCGGTGACGCTGTCAATAA